TGACCAGGCTGATCACTTGTACTGGAACCTACATGAGATCTCCTAATACCAGAGCATATTTTGGGAAAAAGGTGATAAGAAGTCATTTCAGGGATATGTGTTGTGGTGCAGTGTGTTAAGCCACTGCTTAGGATGCCCACATTCCCTGTTGTAGTAATGGTTCAAGACCTGACTTCTAGGCTCTGACCCAGCTCCCTGCAAACGTTCCTGGGAGTTCAGCAGATGATGGCTTGAGTACTTAGGCCCCTGCCACCCACATGGGAGACCCGGATGGAATTCCTGGCTTCTAGCTTAGTCTGTCTTAGTCCTGGTTGCTGCAGACGTTAGGAGAGTGAATCATAGATGGAAGATTTTTTTTTCTCCCTCTCTGTCCGTTTCACTCTTTCTCTGTCCTTCACTGTCACTGTTTCAAACAAATTTTTTAAAAGTCATTTCAGAAGACAATATTCATGGCAGTGTCCTAAAAGTGAGAAAAAGCTAGCTTCTTGATTGTTAGGCTACGAAGTTCAGTCATTGCACTCATGGGGCCTTTGTACTGTTGATTCAAAAATACTGCATGTTCTCCCTGATACGTGGATCTTAAAAAACAATCATTGTGAACTTAGAATAGTGATTACTTCAGGAAGGGAAGAGTAGAGAGAGAGGGGACAGAAGGCTGGACAATGGGAAACAAAACACTAAAAGAACAAACTGTACTACTGGTCTATAACACGATGAGGTGACTATAATTAAGAAAAATGCACTATATACCACATAAAGAACTGGAGGAGAAAGAAGAGAGGAGGAAATGGAGAACTTAGTTGCTTGACTTGATTGGTTTTTGTTAAGTATATGTGTTAAGTATTGCACTCTAGACTCTAAAAATGTGCAACTATTACATGTTAATAAAGTAGTGAAATAATAAAAATTTGCCAAATATAAAGCAGTTACCATATGCCAAACACTAATCTAGGGGCTTTTAAAATACATCACCTCATTTAAATCTTGATATTGCCCTAGTAGGTAAGAGTTATTTTTATTCTCATTGACTGATGAGTAACTTGAGCCAAATCTAGATGGCAGAGTCAAAACTCAATTCCAGACTCAGATTAAAAAATACTTCCTCTTTACTATTGATTAGTTTTGATTTCTCTCTTAATATAAGTAATTTTCTGCAATTGTGCGTAACAGTCCAACTTGACTTGGGTTGTTTCTTTAACAGGTACTTGCCAGCGCTAATGATTTGACTGTGGAATGGCTGGGGTTTCTCTGATTATTTGTTCATTTGATCACTCATTCTGTGATTGGCTACACCTTATATAACTTCCCAATACTCATGATCGATCTGTAGTAATTTTTTTTCCCAGAGTACAGATTTAAATGCCTAGAAATTGTATGAAAAAAAGTTTTCAAAAACCCAGTTTATCTATGTCGTTACCTTTAAGACAGCATTCTCTAGCAGACTGCCCTTACTTTGATCTACTTTGTTTTATCTGTAATACTCATTTATAGAGTTGGACTATTGCTTGTTCATGCTTGGCCTGTGTTAGAGATGATGGTGGGCACTAAGGGAGGAATGATCAGAATTTTGACAAACTTGATAAATTCCTGAAGACCTGAAATGTTTGTAGAATATATAGGCAGACTATTGGAAACATGTCTGGAGCTTGTAGTAAAGTCTAAGTTGGAGATGAGATTTATCAACAGAAGTAACTTTAAAGCCAGGAATTCATATATTTTCACCACATAGAAATACAGAGAGGATATTCCATCTTCAGATGAAGATGAAATCTACTGGAACATCCACTTTTGACAGGACAATGGAAGAGAGTCCTGGGAGGGTATTGAGGAAATATTGCAGGAGAAAACTCGGAGAGTGTAGCCTCACAAGAAGGAGAGATTGTCAACAAAGAGACAGGTTACCACATAAATGCTATCAAGAGTGTTTATTCAGCAGAATTCTTTCTAAACAGGGAACCATTCTAAGTTGTTCTGATATCCCGTGTTGTTCCTATAGTATTGCCATTCACAATGTTCCATCCTGCACACTGGCATGAGAATAGGTATGGAACTCAGATCTGATGGGTCATAGCATAAGATTTCCCTCTTTGCAAAAATTGGTCCAAATGAATAGGAATGTGATAGAAGCAAAGTCTGAGTTCTTTCACATAAGAAAGAACTTCCAAATTGTGTTCATGGTGTTTTTAAAAAAAATCACAAAATTACCCTTAAGTTTTTAAGCCAGCTTGGATAATCTTCTGTGTCAAGTTGACTAGACTACAAGATGCCCATATGATAAAACATTATTTCTTGGTGTGCCTCTTAGGGTGTTTCTTGAAAAGATTAGTATTTTAACTGATAGTTAAAACAAGATATACTCTCACCAAACTTTAATGGGTATCATTCTTTCCTTTAAGGGCCTGAATGGAACAAAAAAAGTAGAAGTAATATGGATTTGTCCTCCAGTTAAGTTGGAATATTTATCTTCTCTTGACCTGAGACATTGTTGCCTGGTTCTTGGGCCTTTAGAGTCAGACTAGGACTTATACCATTGATTTTTCTGTTCTGTAGCTTTCAGATCATGGATCTTCTCAGCCTCTGTAATTGCATGAGACAATTTCTATAATAAATTTATAGACACCCAGGCACACACACACACCCCCATTGATTGCATTTCACTGGAGAACAGTAATTTATCAGTGATAAGCCTATAAGTGGGTTATAGGACAAGATCCTAGAATATACTGTTTTAACATTAACCACGTTTTCCTGGTTAGATTTTATATGAAATTTATAGGCAGTTAAAAACATTGTTAAGATGCTCTGCAATATGAAGTACATGAATAATATTGATTTAGGTGATTTTGCTTCTGAGACACCATTTGTAAGAGTGATACATTAATGCAATATTAACACTGAAATAAGACCATTTTTATAGGAAAAAGAAAAGACAGCTTATTTAAAAAATGAACATTTGGGCCTGGCATTATGGTACAGTGGGTTAAGCCTCTACCCACAATGCCAGTATCCAATATCAGAACACTGGTGTGATTACTGATTGCTCTGTTTCCAATCCAGTTCCCTGCTATTGCACCTGGGAAGGAAGTAGATGATGGCCCAAGTCTTTGTCACCCATGTGGGAGGTGAAGATGTAGTTCCTGGCTCCTGACCCAGCCCTGGCCATTGTGGCCATTTGGGGAGTGTTGGAAAATTTTTTTCCCAGTCTGTTACTCTACCTTTCAAATAAACAAAATAAATCTTTAAAAAATATTTTCAGATCTAATGATAAGCTAAGTATGGTCATATAAAATTAAAATTTCAACTCATAGAAGTGTCTCTCAATTTCTATATCATTATCCATTTTTAGTAATGAAAGAAAATTATTTTTGATGGATGTTATCAGTCCATTTCTTCAATATTTCAAACTTGGAACTTTTGTCTCTGGAAAGAAAAATCTTGTAGTCATGCTTCTTGTATCTTAATCTATTTCCCTTTAACTACTGACTAATTTGAAAGACCTGTTGATCGCAATGACCTTCAGAAACTATCTAATATTCTAATCCCATCTTTTATAAATGAAACAATGAAGCTGATTTCTCAAAGCTACTCAGCAGGAGGTATATCAGGAACTTGTACCAGTTAGCATCCTTGGGATAATCCCACCTTGCTGGGATCATCCTTTCTTAAACATCATTAGCACAACCAGACTCTGCCCTAAAACAACCAGAATGGCTTGTTAGTAAGTATTTCATTTTATGAGGCTAAGTAGGGGTTCACATAAATAATGTCATTCATACTTTTGGTGACCATGTACTTTGTCTCCTCATAATTGAGATGTGAACTAATTCACTTCAGCTAAGACAGCATTGCTGTTTATAAACACTATGAAACAGCTGCACAGAATCACCCTGGCTCTTGAAAGTTTTTGAATTAAAGCAAACTACTAAAATAGCATTTTTATTTGTTTTATGAGAATTATTTTTGACTAAATGCATATTTTGATCAAGATTAGTAATGTTTCATGATTTAGATTTTTGAGCTGAGTCTGATATTTTTATGACCACTTATGAATAGTGGTATCATGTCCTATTTGTGGGTCATTAATAATGAGGTTATGGAGAGCTGTCTGATATATCCAGCTTAATTCCATGTACTACCAAAGTCTTCCTTAAGGTAGTACCAGGGACCCTGGAGAATATGTTAAAGAATACCTTCATATATCTGGTCATTGTTTCTAACTCAATAGACTTTATGAAAAAGCCCACTAGATAGGTCCCTGAGGCTCAATTCTGTTATGTAAACATCTTAACCAGTGAGATAAACCATTCATCTACTAATGAATTCACTCATTCATAAAGGCTCTGCCCTCATGCCCAATAACCTTCCAAAAGTCTCACTTTTTGAAACTGCTACACTGGGGACTAAGCTTCCAACATGTGAATTATAGACAACATAACAAAACCACAGCAAACTCAACCCATCAGGACTTGCCTCCACTGATGTTGGCCATCTTGGCCAAAGTCATATACTTTCCCAGATGATCCATGTCCAGTGATGGATGGATTATAGAAATCTGATTGTCTTATTCTAACTTAGAACAATTCTGATGGTCAGTTTTAACATCGGTTCCTGTGGCATATGCCAAGTCTCTTCTTTGGCCATAAGTTTGACTTTTCTTTTTGTCCATTTCTGCTTTTTCCCGCTTTATTCTCCAAACATTGATCCCAAGGGCACTATCTGTTTTCTAGACGAGAGTGTGTTTTATGGCCTGAGACTGAAATATATCTTTTTCTTATTAGTTGAAATGTATTATCCAATATAATCATCTATCTGCATGCTGGGCAGTATTACACATAGAAAAATACATTTGAAAAAGTCAGCTTGTGTTTGTGAATGAAGAATTTTACATTTTCAATATAGCATAAAATCCCTATTCATAATAATCAGAATATCCTTCTTTGTGAGATGTGGGCTAACCTCAACTTCATTTATGAATTCTTGAACGGCTTTTAATCCTGCAGAGATCAACTGGACAAATAGATTCATCAGTCACCAGGCCCTGGAGAGGATTCAGGACTCAACATAGAAGTGAACCATGCTGCAGGATTGAGTGGGACTTTCAAGGAAGGTGGGTGATAGGCTATGTTATGCGTCCCTTTCTTCTCTGTCTCCCTGCAAAATGTGAACATATTGAAGCAGGGGAAATTTCTTATTTATCTTTGTGATGTTAGTGCTTATTTGTGTCCAGAAAATAGTAGATAATTAAAAGTCTGTTATCAGGGGCCGGCACTATGGCGCAGTGGGTTAAAGCCCTGGCCTGAAGCGTCTGTATTCCATATGGGTGCTGGGTCTAGTCTCGGCTGCTCCTCTTCTGATCCAGCTCTCAGCTATGGCCTAAGAAGGCAGTGGAAGATGGCCCAAGTCCTTGGGCCCCTGCGCCTGTATGGGAGACCCGGAAGAAGCTTCTGGCTCCTGGCTTCGGACTGGCTCAGCTGTGGCCGTTGCGGCATATGGGAAGTGAACGAGTGGATAAGAGACCTCTCTCTGTTTCCACCTCTCTGTAACTCTGTTTTTCAAACAAATAACAGAATTTTTTAAAGAATTATTTTATCAAGAAAATGTGGTTGTATGTGTATGGGGCTGCTGGAGCTTAATCCTGCAAGAAAATTCTCAGAAAACTGTAAGCAAAGAATCCTCAGAACTAGCCCACCTGATGGCCAAGGATTATAGGATATTTATTTCCAGTTCCTATGACCAGTTGGTGAGAGTTTCCCCTGGGAAACTTGCTTGCTTTGGAGAAAATCTCCAGCTGAAGAGGGGAAGGCATTGGTAGTTGAAAGCTGGATCAGTGCACATTGAAGAAATAAGGCCAAAGGGGTATGGTGAGTGGCTGATGGCATCTGCTATGGTAGTGAAAAAAATAGTCCTTAAATTCAACTCATAGCTGATAATGAATTAATAGCTTCAAAGGAAAGGCAGTCATCATAAAAAACATCAGCCATGGTTATGTTGTTATTTTATGGGTATTTGGAAAGTCTATCGGACCCATGTCAAAACACAATTATCATGTATGAAAATGATGGCTACCAGAATATCTCGGGAGCCAGCTGATGCAGAATCAAGCAACTGTTTTCTAGCAGGTGAAGCTTCTAGATAGACCCTATAATTATAATAAAGTAGAAATTAATAAAAAATTCTTAGGTATTAATAGACTACTACTAACCAGATGTAAAACTCAGGTGTGGTGGTGGGCTATGAGTGATGGGAGAGACAGAAGCAAGAAAGAGAGAAAACAAGCACTATGCCTCTCTATTTTATTAAAATCACATATGCTCACTATGCTAAGTAGGGGTAGGAAGAGTGTTTTGACCAGGCTGCTGCTCAGTGCAGGCACCCTTAAGGGTCTGGGGTCTCTAAATAGGTATAAATGGACATAATTTCTGCAACTTTGTTCTGCCTTGTTATTGGAGAAGTCAGGTGTCTTCAGGTGATGTAAGTAAGAAAGAGTGTAACTGGTCAGGCTCCGCCTGGCATTGCCACTTGAAAACTGAGTGGTGGTTCTAGATCGTGAGGAGTGGAGTGTTAAAGTTTGTACTTCATAAACTTCCAGTTCTCTTGATAACTTGTTGTTCTTAGTAAATGGGCACAGTTATCTTGTCTCAATTTTTGTTGGCAAAGAGTGCTAGGTGTTTAGGAATGGCTAATGGTGATGAAGAGATAGAGTCTTTTTTTTTTTTTTAAAGATTTACTTTATTTATTTGAAAGACAGATTTACAGAGAGGTAGAGACAGAGAGAGAGGTCTTCCATCTGCTGATTCACTCCCCAGATGGCTGCAACGGCCAGAGCTGCGCTGATCTGAAGGCAGGAGCCAGGAGCTTCTTCCGGGTCTCCCACATGGGTGCAGGGGCCCAAGGGCTTGGACCATATTCTACTGCTATCCCAGGCCATAGCATGCTGAGAGCTGGATCAGAAGAGGAGCAGCTGGGACTAGAACCAGTGCCCATATGGGATGCTGGCGCTTCAGGCCAGGGCTTCAACCCGCTGTGCCACAGTGCCGGCCCCAGAGATAGAGTCTTAAAGGACACAAGACACTTTGGGATGTCATTTCATTTAGAATTAGAAGCCCCCTAAGTCCATCACTGTGGGTAGAGAATACATTTTTGATGAATTAAAATCCTTTTAAAATAAATTCAAATAGTTCCTTTTATGAACTATTTTGGACCTGAGAAGTACTGGAGTCTAACCCAAAGCCGCAGGTAATCACCATAGTGTTGCAGCATGTCACTTAAGAAACAGGTGGTGGTAGCTAAAGAAGCTCTTAGGAAATTCATTCAGTGAAATGTTCAGATTTCTCACTGTCTGGAGCTAGTCTACATTGAGTCTGATATCTTTGACGAATCTGCATTTACATGGTTGATGCTAAACCAGGGGTTTTATGAACCAGAGAGGCAAACGGTCTTGGAAGGAGCTTTCTCATTGGGAGCACTTCTGAATCTAACAGGAAGTGCTGAGAAACATCTTAGGTGAAAAGGTCTTCGTTTTTTGGATAAATGAACTAAAGACAGGTTGGAAATAAAAATAGTGAAATATAATTACAGGCAGAGAAAGCAGGCAAAGTAAATGTAAACATATGTTTTATTTATGAAATGAACTTTCTGACTAACTTTGTTGAGTGTGAAGAAAGACATTCTGCTTTGGAAGGAAATGGTTTAACATTTCATGTTGGTAATTATGCATGTGTAGGTGTTCTCTGAGCCAGCAGAGAAATCAAGTGTATCTCATTTAGTCTATATAGCACAGTTAATGCAACTATAATAATTTATTCAGCACCTATTTAAAATAATTTTTTGATTTTAAAAACAGAGACACTAATTTAATTCTATAACTTTTCAAAATTTTAGTATTACCTTTTTTATTTTATAGGTGAGAAAATTGTAGAACACAAATGATATCATTTAACTAGAGTTAAAATTTTTAGTTGGTAAAAGAGTCATGGGATTTAAACCTTGTGCTGTGATCTCCAATACTTTTCTGACCCTCTTGCTTGCAGATGTGAATTGTGCTGGCAGTTCTTAGAGAATCTACAGAGCAGATGGCCAAGGCACATGGCAGTTGTTCTTTCCCTTCTGCAAATGTGGGGTTGAGGAAAATGAATTTCTGGAATTGTTTAAATTCACGGAGCAGGTCAGCAAAACAACTGGAATTGGAACAAACTGTCTGCATCTTCGCACTTTCTCTTTTCTGAAGGAAAATTGATTTCCTACAGATTTCAGAGTTTGATCTGCTTGGTAGTGTGAGATTATGGGAAATCATTCGACCTCTCCCAGGTGTGAAACATTGGCAGGCACTAAATGTTAATATTCTTCAGAGAATTTTCTTCATGCCCTGTAATTTCAGCCCAAAGCATTTCACTACTCTTTTTTAAGTTTATCTTAGCACAGTTCTATCAATTAAGCTCTTAAGTAATAGGAAGCCCAAGGAGATATTATTACAGATTAAATATATTTCCCAGAATTTCATGTGCCAGTGCTCAGGAAGATGTAAGTCCTTTGGTTATGGTGTTTAGGAAAAGAACATCCCATGGAAATAATTTTCCAGCTTCCACCTATATGTGACTAATTCACTGTGACTTTTTTCACAGCATCTTTGTCGTCATTTAGATGCCCTGACACATCATGGATCACTGGGTGCTCCAGTCACTGTGTCTTGTGCTGACATACTCTGCTATGCATTGCATTTCACCTGCAAGTGAAATTCTGAGAAAACATTTCAAATAGCTTATCTGAATTTTTTTTTTTTGACAGGCAGAGTGGACAGTGAGAGAGAGAGAGAGACAGAGAGAAAGGTCTTCCTTTTGCCATTGGTTCACCCTCCAATGGCCACCGTGGCCGGCGCGCTTTGGCTGGTGCATCGCGCTGATCCGAAGCCAGGAGCTAGGTGCCTCTCCTGTTCTCCCATGTGGGTGCAGGGCCAAGGACTTGGGCCATACTCCACTGCACTCCTGGGCCACAGCAGAGAGTTGGCCTGGAAGAGGGGCAACCGGGTCAGAATCCGGAGCCCTGACTGGGACTAGAACCTGGTGTGCCGGTGCTGCAGGAGGAGGATTAGCCTATTGAGCCGTGGCGCCGGCCTATCTGAATTTTTGACACTGATTTTGCAATATCAATTACAGATACATAGATTTCCTACACACACAAGCATCTTTACATGCCAGGATACTGATATCTGGTACCTGCACTGATAATTCTCAACTCCAACTGATAGTATAAACCCCATAGCCATTTTCTTGTCAAGTAGGCTAAAAGCTTTTCATATTTTAATTCTCTTCCTCCTTAGGAAATCAAATATGACATTTTGTTGTTTTTGCTTGAACCATATTTCTCCAGTTCTGTATTTCCCAAATTGGGTGTATGAAGTACTAGCATCTTGTGAGATGTTAACAGGCTTTCCACGTCATCAAATGTGGTTTGAAAATGGTACATTAAAAAAGGTTAAGCACATTTGTTTATGGTAAGACTTTTTAGATTGTTAATATATTTGTGTGCAGTTCAAATATTCAGGAGGTAAATGAAATACATGCCAACTACAAATATATCTAAACAATCCTCCCAATTCACTAATATAAATAATAATATATTAATATTTAAAGGTAAATAAAAGGTAAATTAGTAAATGCTAGTGCCCTCTTGCGTACAGTTTGGAAATACTGCTTGACTTTCTCTTCATTTCCTTGACACATTTCTCTTTGGACCCAATCAAAATTGCTTTAGGTTCTTATAGGTGAGACTTAAAGTTATCCTTATTTCCAATCTCTTACCTCTAAATTTAATTTTCTCCTGGTTAGTATTTGGTTTCTTATCATTGCATAGATAAAATTATATTGCCCTCTTCCTGAACACCATTTAATCTTCTGTGATGTTTCCAGAATACATTATCCAATTAATAAACTCTGTTATGACATTCAAAGTCATTGCTGATCAAGCAACTTAAACTTTCTGTTTAGTATCTTCACAAATCTATATTCTGTGCTAATGACATTTCATTAGACTATTGCAAATCTTCTTTTCATTTCTAAGATCCATCCCAAGGATTTATACACCATGTATTACCTGGGCCTAAACTGTCCAATTGTTATTTGCCTTCTTCACTTCTAAGCATAGAAGATGGTATTAATTTTGAGAATTATACCTTACAAAGGATACATTACAAAAAGAATATAAAAATGAAGTATAAGAAAATAAGAACCAAATATAACCCTACTACCTAGAAATAGCTGTAGTTAAAACTTGCCACATAGCTTTGCAGTAGCATATGTATTGCAGGTAGAAATATCTCAATGTTTCTAACTCTATATATTTTTATCTCTGCCATCTCCACATCGTATTCCATTTTGTACTAGTATAACAGAATGTCCAGAATTCATTTATAATGATCAGAAATCTGTTGGCTCAATTCTGAGGGCTGGCAAGTCCAAGTTCAAGGCATAAGCATCTGGCAAAGGCCTTCTTACTGTGTCATTGACAGGTGGAAGGAGAGAGGGTGTTGGTGGGGTGGGAAGAGAATCTACCTATTCCTGCAATAATAAACCCACTCATATGGTAACATTATTAGTCCAGTCACAAGGGCAGAACCCTCACAGTCTAAATACCTCTTAAAGGTCTCACCTCCAGTGGCTGTCAAAATGGTAATGAAATTCCAAGTTTTTGAGAGGATTCTCAAATCACGGGGCAGGCACACAGCACACATGGGTGTCTACACAGAGGTTATGCTATACTGTCTTACAGGTTAAGAAACATTTTAGATGGCAAATAAAAATCCTGAAAGAGGTTGGAACATTGTGCTGAATTTGATAAAAGGAATTTAAAAAAATGACAGATGCCTAAGGGGCTGGTGCTGTGATGTAGAGGGTTAAGCCCCTACCCGCAATGCTTGTATCTCATATGAGCACTGGTTTGAGTCCTGGCTGATCTGCTTCTGATCCAGCTCCCTGCTGGTGGCTTGGGAGGACAGCCCAGGTTTGCCTTAGTGCTTGGGCCCCTGCCACTGATGTGGGAGACCTTGAAGAAGCTCCTGGCCTTGGCCTGGTGCAGCCCCGGCCTTGTGGCCATCTAGGATGTGAACCATTGCAATAGGACTACAGATCCATTTAAAGGAATGGATATCTTTGAATTTAAGCAGTTTTAACTGTATTCATGATAGTAATGTACCTCTTTCTTTATTTGATATGAATTTCTCCTTTTATAGTTTTCAGCTTAGAATTCTGGGACTTAGGATTTAAAGCAAATAATCTGTGATCCCTTTATTTACCTCTGATTAATGACCCAGGCTATTCTGCATATAAATATAGTAACTCAATCTCTAAACAAATAGACTGTTCATAGTTGCTAGGAGAATGTTTTTACCTATGGAATGATTGAAGGAGGATATTCCTGGTTTCGGTTTACTTACTGTAAATAAATCTACAATTTATTGACTTATAACACATGACTCCTTAGAGAATGCCACATAAGCTATAATGCTCTCTGGGTTATAAAATTAGTTGTTTTATAAATTTAAATTTCCTGATTAATTGACCAACAAATCTCATTAGAGATAGCAAGTATTATTCTAGAACCAATAACTCTTATCTCATGTTAGGAAGGAAGGAATTAGGTAGCCAAATGGTGTTTCAGAACCTTTCCTGCTTTGCAGGTGCCTCTTCACTGTGCCACATCCTTAAAATTATCAGTAAAGCTTAATAAAGCCTAAGAGCTGTGGTTTGTGAGTTTTACTTGAAAATCATATACTTTGTATTAGTTCAAATGCTTGAACATATTTTCTTAGATTTATTCTTAGGTTCATGGTATTTTCAGGATATTTTAAATGTAATTTTAAAATTCTTACTTTCTGACTGTTTCTGGCATGCAGAAATATAGTTGACTTACTTTGTGCCATCAGTCTTTGAAGCTGTGATCATTAATTCTAATGGTCTATTTTATTTGTTATTATTTAAAATATATTTTATTTACATAAGGTGAAAAACTTTCATGTATTTCGTATATACAGACTTAGGAGCATAGTGATACTTCCCATTCTATCCTTTTCTCCTGACCATGTTCCCACGCCCCTTCCTCCTTCCTATTTTTTCTTTTAATTTTACAATGACATACGAAAACTGAAAAGCTTATTTTATAATCCTAAGCTTAACCCTACACTAAGTAAAGAATTCAACAAATAGTAAGTTGAAATAAACTACTGTTTATCAAGAATATAGATAAGGGCTGTAATGATAATCAGATCTCAGAATGTCAATTTTCTTCAAAAACATTTTTTTTTTTGTATTCTGTATATGAGTTACCACAGATCAGGGAAAATATATGATATTTGTCTTTTTTGAGCTGGCTTATTTTACTGAGCATAATGATTTCCAGATGTATCCATTGCAAAAGACAGAATTTCATTTTTTATAGCTGAATAGTATTCCATAGTGTATAATCCCCATTTTCCCTAACTTCTTCATCCAGTCTTCAGTTGATGAACATCTGGGTTGATTTCATATCTTAGCTAGTATGAATTCAGCTACAGTGAACTTCAGAGTACAGGTAACTCTCTCATATACTGATTTCAATTCGGTTGGGTAAATTCCCAGGAGTGAGATGGCTAAGTCATATATAGATCTATTTTCAGAGAAATCTCCATACTGTCTTCCATAATGGTTGTACTAGATTACATTCCCCCAAGAGTGGATTAGGATACGTTTTTCTTCACATTATTGCAAGCATTTATTGTGTTTTGATTTTTGGATTACAGCCATTCTAACTGTGGTGAAGGAAAACCTCACTGTGCTTTTGATTGTATTTCCCTGATGGCTAGTGATCCTGAGCATTTTTTCATGTCTCTGTTGGTCATTTGAATTTCATCTCTTGAAAAATGCCTGTTAATGTCCTTTGCCCATTTCTTAACTGGATTGTTGTTTTGTTGTTGTTGAGTTATTTGAATTCTTTATAGATTCTGGATATTAATCCTTTATAGTTTGAAAATACCTTATTTACATTCTGTTGTTTGGCTCTTCACTTTGCTGAGTGTTTCCTTTGCAGTGAGAAGCTTCTTAGTTTGATGTTATCCCATTTGTCAATTTTGGCTTTGATTGCCTGTGCTTCTGGATTCTTTTTCATTGTTTTCTTTTTTTGGGGGGGGTGGGAGAGGGGAGGCAGAGTTAGATAGTGTGAGAGAGAGAGAGACAGAGAGAAAGGTCTTCCTTCCATTTGTTCATCCCCTCAAACAGCCATTACAGCCGGTGTGCTGTGCCGATCCGAAGCCAGGAGCCAGGTACTTCCTCCTGGTCTCCCATGCGGGTGCAGGGCCCAAGCACTTGGGCCATCCTCCACTGCCTTTTCGGGCCACAGCAGAGAGCTGGCCTGGAAGAGGAGCAACGAGGACAGAATCTGGCACCCCAACTGGGACTAGAACCCGGGTTGCCGGTGCTGCAGGCGGAGGATTAGCCTAGTGAACCGTGGCGCCAGCCTTCTGGATTCTTTTTCAAGAAGTCTTTGCCTATGCCAATGTCTTGAAGAGTTTCCCCAATATTCTCCTCTAGTAATTTGATGGTATCAAGTTGTAGATTTAGATCCTTGATCTATTCTGAGTTGATTTTTGTATAAGATGTAAAGTAGGGATCTTGTTTCATTCTTCTGTATGCTTAGAACCAATTTTCCTACCACCATTTGTTGAGGAGACTGTCTTTCTGCATGGATTGATTTTAACTCCTTTGTCAAAGATTAGTTGTAGACCCATGGATTGGTTACTGGGGTTTTTATTCTGTTCCATTGGTTTACTGTCTACTTTTATACCAGTACCAGACTGTTTTGATTATAATTTTCCAATATTCTTGAAATCTGGTAATGTGATGCACCTGGCTTTTTTTTTTTTTTAAACTGTTTTGGCTGTTTGGGGTCTCTTGTGTTTCCACATGCATCTTAACATTGTCTTTTTCTAGATCTGAGAGAATGTCCTTGACGTTTTGGTTGGGATTGCATTGAATTGGGAAGTTGCTTTTGGTAGTATGGACATTTTAATGATATTAATTTTTCCAACCCATGAATATAGAAGATTCTTCCTTTTTTGTGTGTTTCTTCTTCTGTTTCTTTCTTTAATCTTTTGTAATATTCATTGTAGGGATCATTCACATCCTTGGTTCAAGTTATTCCAAGTATTTAAATTTTTGTAGCTATTGTAAATGGTACTGATTTACAAGTTTTTTTTCTCAGTCATGACATTGACCCTGTGCATACAAAGGCTACTTATTTTTGTGTGTTGATTTTATATCACACAACTTTACCAAGCTCTCTTGTGAGTTCTAATAGTCTCTTAGTGGAACCTTTTTGTTTCCCTAAATATAGGAACATATTTTCTGCAAACTGGGATAGCTTGACTTCTTCCTTTCCAAATTGTGTTCATTTGATTTCTTTTTCTTACCTAATGACTCTCTCTAAACTTCCAGAACTTTATTAAATAGCAATAGTGAAAATGGGAATCCTTGTCTGTTTCCGGGTCATAGTGGAAATACTTCCAACTTTTCAAGATTCAATGTGATTCTGGCTTTGAGTTTCTTTTTTATTTATTTATTTATTTTTTTTACAGGCAGAGTGGACAGTGAGAGAGAGAGAGACAGAGAGAAAAGTCTTCCTTTGCCATTGGTTCACCCTCCAATGGCTGCCACGGCTGGCGTGCTGCGGCCAGCACACCACGCTGATCCGATGGCAGGAGCCAGGTACTTATCCTGGCCTCCCATGGGGTGCAAGGCCCAAGCACTTGGGCCATCCTCCACTGCACTCCCTGGCCACAGCAGAGAGCTGGCCTGGAAGAGGGGCAACCGGGACGGAATCCGGCGCCCCGACTGGGACTAGAACCTGGTGTGCCAGTGCCGCAAGGCGGAGGATTAGCCTAGTGAGCCGCGGCTCCGGCCTTAAGTTTCTTATAAATTGCCTGATTGTGTTATGGAATGTTCCTTCTATATAAAACTTGTTTAAACTTTTTATCATGAAAGGATGCTATATTTTATCAAATGCTTTATCTGCATCTGTTGAGCTAATCACATGGGTCTCACTCTTCAGTTTGTTAATGTAATTTTTCACATTTATTGATTTGTAATATGTTGAACCCTCCTTGCATACCAGGGATAAATCTCTCTTGGTTAGATTGAATGATCTTTCTGAGGTGTTATTTGATTCATTTAGCAAGTATTTTCCTGAGGATTTTTTTATCCTCTGAGGTCTTTCATCCACTGATTCACTCCCCAAATGGCCACAACAGCTGGAGCTGAGCCAATCTGAAGCTAGGAGCCAGAAGCTTCTTCTGGGTCTCCAAGTGAATGCAGGGGCCCATGTAATTGGGCCATCTTCCACTGCTTTCCCAGGCACATTAGTAGAGAGCTGGTTTGCTAGAGGAACAGCCGGGACTAGAACTGGTTTCTATTTGGGATGCCGGTGCTGCAGACAGTGGCTTGACCCAGTACACCACAGCGTCAGCCTCAAAATTTTAAATAGCCAGGCACCCTGACATTGGATGCATATACATTTACTATAGTCATATCTTCCTGTTGAACTGATCCCTTCATCATGACATAAAGCCCTTCTGTGTCTCTTTGAACAGGTTTTTTGTTTTTTTGTTTGTTTTTAAGTCTATTTTACCTGCTATTAGGATGGCTACTCCTACTCTCTTTTTTTTTCTGTTTGTGTGGCATATGTTGTTCTGTCCTTTGACTTTTGATCTGTGTGTATATTTGTTAGTGAGGTATGTTTCTTAGAAGTAGCAAATAGATTGGTGTTTTTTTAATCCATTCAGCCAGTCTATGTCACTTAATTGGAGAATTTGGGCCATTTACATTCAAGGTTATTATTGATAAATAATTACTTAGCCCTGACATTTTTCATAAGTATTCCTATTATTTTTTTTATTTCCTTTGCACTTTTACTAGGAGATTCTACCTGGAAAATCTTCACCATTGCTAGAAACATCTACCACTGCCTGGGAAAATCCACCTCTGCTGGGCGAGTGGTGGCAAATTCTTTCAGTTGCTGTTTGTTTTGGATGGTCTTTATTTCACCTTCATTCATAAATGAGAACTTTGCAGGATAAAGTATTCTGTGTTGACAATTTTTTTTTTCCTTTTTGGGCATATACTATGTTTCTCCATTCTCTTGTAGCCTGTACAGTTTCTGATGACAGATCAGCTGTTAGTCTACTTGGAAATCCTGTGAAAGCAAATTGGTGTCCCTCTCATGCACATTTCAGAATCTTTTCTTTATGTTTTACTATCGAAGTTTGACTTTAATGTGCTGTGGTGAAGATCTTTTCTGATTATGTCTTTTATGAGTTCTGTATGCTTCCTGTACTCAAATGTCCCTTTCTTTCTCCAAATTAGGGAAGTTCTGCTATTATTTCACTGAAAAGCTTTCTAATCCATTCTCTCTTTCCACACTTTCTGGAACTCCTCAGACACATACATAAGGTTATTTGATGGTATCCCATAGATCTCGAACACTGGTTTCAGTTTTTTGCAGTTTTTTCTTCTTTTCTTCTGTCTGACTGAGATAGTTCCTATAATTTTTCTTCTAGCTCAGATATTCTTTCTTCTGCCTCATGAAATCTGTTGCCAAGCCTTTACTTTGTATTTTTTATCTGGCATATTGGATTCTTCATTTTTAATATTTCAGTTTGATTTCTCTTCAGTATGTCTATCTCATGGGAAAATTTTTTATCCATGTCATATATGGGTTATTTTTAACTCTTGAATTTGCTTCTCATTGTTTTTGAGTAATCTTTTGATCATTCTTTTAAATTATTTTTCATGCATTTCATCAATCTATTTGTCTTTACATTCTAATATTGAAGTGCTGTTGTATTCCTTAGGGGACTCAGATTGTCTTCTTTATTCACAGTTTTCATGTTTCTACTTTTATTTTCAGGCATTTGTGTAACAACTTGTTTGTTTTCTCCTCTGATGGATTTTAACTTTGAAATATACCTGTGTGGTTAGTACGGGATCTGCTCCTTCGATTGATATCCAGAGGCATGTGCTGAGTGGGCGCAGGGATCTCCAGCCAGTGCTCAAGGGAGGTGCAAGAGTTCAGGTGACACCCACGTTGGGTGTGGTAGGTCTCTACTGTCCGCAGGAGTGAGGGTTTGATTACATCAGCTGGTGTGATCCTTGTCTCACCTCCTCTCTGCCGTGGTTATCAATGCCCAGGGTAAGCCCACAGTAGCTACACACCGCACCCATGCATTTATTTGCATGTAGTGCACAAGGAATATGTGCAGTCCTCAGTGTTAGCACAGACCCCTCTGCAATGACCAACCATAGGCAATCAGGAAACTGAGCCTCTGAAACCAGACACAGTGATTTTCCAGTCTCAGCTATACCCCACGCACTATCATGCAGTCACAGAATTCCCACAGTAACAGGGCTCCGACAGTCACAGGGAGCAGAGGATCCACTCCTGGTCCTGTGAATCTGTTCACTCCACAGAGAGATCCAAGGCATTCCCAGAGTCAGCTGTCTGTCAGTGTTCTGCCTTGGAAGTTTCAGTATAGGCACCAGTGATATAGAGGGGAGTGGAGCACCTCACAGGCTTAAGTGGGAGGCCCGCCTCCTGCCAACACTCCAGGTCAGACTCAAACTCAGTGGGGATTGTGGATTTATCTCTCAGATAAAATCCCCTAATCACATGTTTGCAAGCAATGGCAGCCTGTACTCACCTAATGTTAAAATGGCACTTCTTCCCTGTATTCACCTAGAATCTTTGTTGGCTGAATGGGAAGGAAGCAATGTGCTCTTGTTTCATGGGGTTAGGTGGGCTTCCTGCCCCCTACTTAGCACTGCAGGCTGGACTCAAAGTCCGTGTGTTTCACAGGGTTCTCTGTTAATTAATATCACCAGTGACATGGGCTACCACAGTCTCCTCTCATTTCTCTTTAATAAGATCCCTATTGTATTTTTAATTCTTTTACATATACAATCATATTATCCACCAATTCTGGTAGTTTTATTTCTTGTTTTCTACTATGTATGTCTTTATTATCTTTTGTATTGTTTTATACTGATTATGAACTCTGGTACATTATCAAGAAGGCCCCAATTTTAGAAGTAAATCATTCATTATTTCACCATTAGATATGAT